AATCTAGTCTAGAATTTACACTCAAGTATCCAAGGTAGTGAGTTAGGAAAATGTATTATCAAAAGTTTCTTCAATTGGTCATTTGCAGGTCACATTTTAGAGAAGTTATTGAATCAAAGCCAGTCTGAATTATATAGAGCTGTTATGGAGGATCTGGAAAGCTATGAGTATGAATTTGCACATCAACCTCTTGAACAGCCTTACTGTAGTGCTACACAAAAACGCCTCCGTGTTGAGCCAGCATAAGAATGGTAATAGAAGAGGGAGCATTCCCACTGTTTAACCCATGCTGCCAGCTACTGCATTAAGCAAGGGTGGTTCACTGCACAGGAGGGTTCCTCTAGCAATAGAGTAAGTTGCTTCGTAAGGCAATACAGGACTAGGACAATGTGGGGCATCCTTGCTGGTCCCTGGCAATCCATCCTCCTCAACTGGATTTGGGCCTGAAAGACCAAGGAAATTTGAGGGTACACGGAGAGCAAGTCGTAAGCAAGCACAGTTTGTGACACTGCACAACATTGTCACTGATCACGGAGGCATGCTTATGAAGACATCAGGCATCACTTCCTATTTCCCAGCATTGTGAAACTGAAGCCAACATGAGATAACCTTCTGTTCTTAAACCAGCAAGGTTTAGGAATCACTGAATTAAAACATACTATACACTGAACTGTGATGAGCAATGGTGCTGCTAAATTGAAAAAGATCAACTTTTCTGGTCCAGATTACAGCATGCCCTGATAAACAAAGAGAAGAAGCAAGCAAGGTGTGCCATGCAAAGGTGCTATAGCAAGATATGGAATTCAAGATATAGCAATAATTACTGGTAAATACTAATTGTTGGAGGAAAATCAGCTGGTGTCTCAATTTACATAGAAGTGCTAAAAGTCAATCTGACCTGGGAAAAGTTCCTTCCCAACACCAAATACACACAACAACTGTTCATCCCAAGGAGAACATTACCCAAGCTCACACACAAACCAATAATGGAACACAGTTCCACCATGCTACCTGGAACAAGCAATAGAACACAGTGGACGAAACAAACAGAACTGCTGAAGAAGGAACTGAGTTCTGGAATGTTGTTACTAAGGCTAGGGTTGGGGAGCAATTTCCCATTTAAAGCTGAATTTATCAAATTCACACTTTCTCAAACAGTATGAGAACCAATATATAGCCATCCTTTGAAATGCACATGCATCTCAATTTTGAGATGCCGTTCTCCAACTAGCTAATGCTTACAGCAGTTCATTTACCTGCGGGTATAGGGTGGTATACAAATTTATTTATTTAATCAATGGTGATGATGATATGCATAAAATGAATATATTCATGAAATTTATACATAAATGCATTATATTAGGAGAAATGTTGGGACCCAAATTTAGGAATGGAAAAAATGAGAAGCTCAGAGAACTGAAGCTGACGGATCCTTTCATCTCTATCCAAGACGGAAAGGCAGAATCTGAAGATTGAATCTATTTATTATTTAACACTTATTGATATGTATTGTTATTTAACAATAGATAGACCCCTGCCTTAAGCATGGGCTGCCTAACTGCACATGTCTAATTTGGTTCTTAGGTATCTGTGCCAAACACTGACGGTCTCTGAGTTCTGGAAGTACACTTATTCCCTGGAGTTAAAGGCCAAGCTAGTGATAACAATGAATGACTGGATGGCATATCATTATTTATTGGACTGCTATACCTCTATAATGACTACCTGCACAAAATGGTGCCTGGCACCAATCAGAGAGCTCATTAAATAGGCCACATGCAAGCAATAAACCACATATTATTGCTTTGCAGCACCATTGTACAGTATACAAGGTTAGTACAGTGGCACCTTGGTTTAAGAACAGCTTAGTTTATTAACAACTTGGATTAAGAGCACTGCAAACCAGGAAGTAGGTGTTTTGGTTTGTGAACTTTGCCTTGGAAGCAGAACATGTTCTGCTTCCTGTTTGGTGTAAATTGAGTCCCCCACTGCTATGGGAAAGCACGCCTTGGTTTAAGAACACTTTGGTTTAAGAACGGACTTCTGGAACAGACTGAATAGTTACTCCAGAGGAATCAGAGGACACTTAGCATAGTCCAGTTTATTCCATTTACTCCATGAAATTTATTTCTTAGCCTATCTACACTTCCCTGAAATGACAACTTTTGTACCAAACTTTCAGAAATAGAAGCTCAATAAGCATGTGCCGCAACATAACCACAATCCCTAGAGACACCTCAGATCAATCAAATATCTACAAATGACTTGCAATCAAGGTAAGCAAGAAAGGCCTCATTTTATTCCTATTCTGCCCATGCTGGACTATTGACTTCTGCAAATCCAAGGCAGCCAAGAACTAAGTCCTGGGCTCTCAATGGCATTCATTCAGAAAAACCAGTAAACTAAAACAAACCTTGATATCCACAATCCCATTTTCTCAGCATTCTCTTCCTTGGCTCTAAATACAAAGGGAAATCCCAAACACACCTTAGGGGAAGGAGGAAGTTTTCCAAAGTTAAGTACAGTTTTCGGATTGTATGTAAAGATTGTCCACCTTGGATAATATTCTAAACGTCAACCATTCCCGCTGGCTTGGTTTGCATGCAGTGCTAGGCCAAGCCATGGCTCAGTGTGAAAGCACAAGTGTGCAAGCTTCTGGAGAGGAGGTTGCAGCCACCTTGCTCTTCTTCCAGTCCTGCTGCACCTGTGAGTTAAGGTTTAGTTTAGTGTGTCATCTGAACCCAGGCTCCTGGTTTGTCTCCTCCAGAACTGCAAACCAAGAACAAACCTTGGTTACAGCTCATGGAGTGTTTCAAACCACGAGCTAAGGTTTAGACAGCATGCTAAGTTAAACCATTGCTTGGCTCAACAGCAGTGCAGCAGCAGGATTGGAAGAGGAGCACATTTGTGCTAAACCACTGTTTGGCTTAGCATTACGTGCAAACCAATCACTGTAAAACTTGCAGACCATTTAATGCTTGAGTTTCTTGGGCTGCGTTTTGCCAAACAGTTTTAACAGAAGCTGTTATCACAAGGCTCCTTCCCACGAAGCCTGTTAAACTAGGTTCTTCCCTCATCTCTCACACGGCAATGGCTCTCCTGCGCACCCCCCAGCCCAGCTTCTCATGCAGCCTGCATCAGCACACAGCTATCCAAACTGCCTTCGTGCCAGAGCTGGGAGCAAGGGAAGGGGCTTCAGCATGGACAAAGGTTGGGGCAGCATAGTTTTGGCAGATGTCAGAAAAAATTACAACCGCAGCAAAACAGAAAGTAAAACCAGCCAAAAAAAGAACATAGATTTACAAGAATTTTTTTAAAAAAAGAGAGCTGTTTTTTTGTTTTTTTTTTTAAAAAGGAAGAAAGAAAGAAGAAAAGGAAACCAAACAAGGGGGTGGGGAGAGAGACCCAAGGAACAAAATGGAACAAAAAACCCAATGATACAGAAGAGAAGGAGAAAGAAGCTGGTGTATTTGAGTGGGTGGAGGGAAGTTCCAACTGTAGCATTGGTGACCACAATGCTGACTTGGGTAGGGGCACCAGGGAGGAGGTCAAATAAATAAATAAATGGGGAGGGGAACAAATAATACCTAGGCATATCCGAATCAAGAAACTGCCTGCAAAAACACAAACAATCACATGGTTAGTGTGGGTTCAAATGGGTGGTAACAGCAGCAGCAGCAGCAGCAGCAGTTCCATAGTGCAGCTTCTCAAAAGCCCAAGCCCTATAAACAGCACCTCTCTCTGCCCACTGGCAAGCCACAAAAAGCTGCAGTAGAAAATAGCAAAGCATCCAATATCACAACCATATGAGTGAGTGGAGTGAGTGAGTGTCCGACACTGACACCAAATATTGGGGCCTGAACTGGGGAGAGCTGAGCAAATCCTGGTATAGTCATGAAGTCCAGTGGGTGCATCACTTTTTGCATGCCTACCCAATTTCACAGTGGTCTTGTGAGCAAAGCCCAAGTATGCCACCTTGAATACAAATGTAGTAAGGAACAGGACTACCCTCTTGGTATTGAGATTTGAATCATGTGGTGCCAGCCTCATTTATTGCACTAGGATTTACCTTGAGTTCTTGGAACATAACTGCATCAACCATCACCCAATAAAGTTATTAAGGCCCGAACGAGCCCCCGAGGCCGTTCTGTCCATGTTAATTCATGCTTAACCACTACACATTGGGGGACGGGGGTTAATGCCATAGCGACAAGGAGTTTCCAAGTTCTTCACTGCATTTATAAGAATTAAGGCAATGGAACCGTCTCTAGTGTCATAGAGGTTTCAGTGGCCGGGGGATAGAGGGAATGAGACCAAAATATATTGTTATTTGGTCTTTGGGAAGGCAGCTAGGTAACACACAATAGCAAAGCAGTGAGCAGAAGCAAAAGGTTCACATGATGGGTTAGGTAGGTTCCCACCCTTCTCGCTTCAGCAACATCAAGACCCAAAGCAAGCCCCCAGAGCCCATGCAGAACTGAAGGGTGGGGACTCTGGAAGATGGTGAATTGTCCATTGTCTTCCCCAGTTGCTCTAGATTGTCCTCCTCCTCCTGCAAAATCTGGCCATCCTGCTAGCAAACTCTGAGGCATCAGCCAACAATTCAGTTATCATCCATGCAGGCAGCTGAGAATAATGCTCTTATGCCAGGCACAGATCCAGAGAGGAAGAACCAAAACACAAATGCTCTGTATATGTGATTCCTAGCCCTCCCCAAGCAACCTGACAGGTGGCTCATGACCCAGGATAAACCTTTTTATTGTTCTTGACACTTTTGAGTTTTAATTGCTTTCTTCAAAAAAATGAATTTTAATGAATTATGCTGCTTTGCCAGAGAAATGTTGTAAATGAAACAACCCAAACATGTCCTAAAGCATATGAATGCTTTGTTAGTTGACTTGAAAAGTCATGTTCAAGTGACTGCTGAGAGCCTGAGTAAGAAAGAAGCAGAAAAATCCATTCCCAGAATATGCAGTACAGTGGGGTGGGCAACATGTGACCTTCCAGTGTTACTGGACTACAATTCCCATCAGCCCCCGCCAGCATGGCCAGTGACCAGGGCAGATGGGAGTTGTAATCCAGCAACACTGGAAGGGCCACTGGTCCCCCATCCCCACAGTAGAGATATCCAATCCAATATGCAGAATTACCTAAATGGACTGCACATCCAGGATGACTCGGTTCTTTTACTGATCAATATCCACCATACACCTACAGAAAATCTTTAATGTCAGCTTTATTCAGTGATCCTAGAACTTTTGCAGGTGGCTGGCATGCCGACAAGCTGGGCACTTGCAAACCAGGTTTGCTGTGCTTATCCCTAATAGCCAAATGTACTCACAAGATTGTCACAGGGGGAGCAGCAACTGTTGAGCAAAACTAGGGATGATCACTTTGAAAACTCATGACAGCAGTTACTTTTGCTGTGAGGTTCTTCCTATTTTGCTTGTGCATGCAGTGTCTGTTGCTAAAGAAACTGCCATTTGGAAATACTTTTCCATAACTGCAACTCCTCCCTCTTAATCCATGGAGCAGGTCTTTAGCAGCTGCTCTTTCAGAGAGACACTGCTGTATGCTGGTTGGCCCTCTTTTCATTGATTTTTCTGGGTTGGGTTCACTTAATCAGCCCCATCACTGGAACCCCTGCACAATGACTTCTGCTTGTGCAACAGGCTTCCCCCCCTCTCCTCCTCCCACATACAGTACCCCAAAATTGGCTCAAGGGGGTCAGCAAAAATTCCAGAACCGCACATGGGGGTGGGGGGGCTTGTTCTGTCTGGCAAGCTGCAATGTTTGTGCAGACAGAATGTTCATCATAGCACAACATGGAATTCCACTCCTTGGTTTTTTAACATTTCACTTTATTTGTCATTTATATATTGCTTGCTTATTTGGAAGAGAAACTCCATTAGAGCTGAATACTAAAAAGAGTCTTTGCCCTTTTGTTAACCATAGGAAGTTCACATGCCAGTCTTCCTTGCAGTGTTGAAAAAATGGGTGAGAGGTTATAAGCTATGGGCTAGCCTTGCCTCCATGACTGACGTGAGCCACAGCTAAGCCTGATGAAATTCTTCCCCACCATCCAAACATTCAGACAGCACAGGAAAAGGGCAGAGCTAGCCTGTGTGGCCCCACAACCCCTTTCACCCATTGTTTCAGCACTGGAGAGCAGGCTGTGTGAACCTCCCTACTGCCACCCAGCTATGCATAACCTTTGTCCTAGGGTAACTCACCTCAGACAATCTGTCTTCTCTTCCAGCATTTCTTCGGCAGCTTCTGTTTTTCACACATCACATACTAACACCTTGCCTCGTCCGCAACCCCATTTTAATCGTTCACAGCTCAACCATACATGCTCGTGATGAGTGGTTTCTTTTGCCAGAGGGTCAGGATAAATGATGTTATGTTAAATGTCTGAATGGAGATGAGTATTGAGGGACCAGCCTGGGATGCTTCAGTAAAAATGGAGTAGCCACACAACTACAGGAGACATGGAAAGGGATATTCCCTACCCGCCGCCCAAAAAAGTGAAAGAAACTGAGATTGGAAGCCATGTTGCCTCTTGCCTGTTGTTCTCCTGACATAGTAGCATGAGTATCCCATCCATGGGACCAAACTCAGTCCTTCATCTTATGAATTATAACTGTTACAATGCATTACCATCTTGGCTGTCTTAGTGCAGACCCAGGTCATTGAACCTGAGCTTTCACAGCTATCTCCCACAATGAACCACCATTGACAGGATGGGCAGCAACAGCAGCAGATATGTTCTATGCTTATGATAATATTTTATTTTCTTGCTAATTATGCTGCTTTATTTAATGTGCATTTTATACTTAACCTCCTTTGTAATATTTTGTTTTGAAATATTTAAGATAATTACATTATATTCCTTTGAATCTATACTTTATATTTGACTTTCTTCAGTAATGTTTTATTCTGGATTCTTTTATTTGATGTTTCAATGTGTTGTAAACCGCTTTGAGATATTTTTGTTTAAATATAAAATGATATAGAAATGAAATGGATAATAATAATAATAATAATAATGGGTAAAGGTAAATGACCCTTGGTTAAGTCCAGTCAAAGGCAACTATGGGGTGTGGCGCTCATCTCGCTTCAGGCCAAGGGAGCTGGTGTTTATTCACACACAGCTTTCCAGGTTATGTGGCCAGCATGACTAAACTGCTTCTGGCATAACAGGACACCGTGACAAGTGCCAGAGTACACAGAAACACTGTTTACCTTCCCGCCGCAGCGGTACCTATTTATCTATTTGCACTGGTATGTTTTCAAATTGGTAGGACAGAGCAACAAGAGAAGCTGGGACAGAGCAACAGGAGCTCACCACATCACATGGATTCGAACCACCAACCTTCCGATCGGCAAGCCCAAGAGGCTCAGTGGTTTAGACCACAGTGCCACCCGTGTCCCAGCATATTCTGAATTTGCCCTGGTGATAATGTGCTTGGTGCAGGCACTGCTATTCCAGCTCTAAGGAGCCAAAACATCTCCAAGCAGCTAGTGCCAACTTTCAACAGTCCTGTTCTATCTCTTCCCCAGAAAACCAGCTCTTACTGCATGAACAAGGAGCAGTGATAGGCAATAACGTGATTGTTGCTAATGTATAAGGAGCAGCATACCACAGGCAAATCCAAAAATTCTGTATGTATGGGGCAAGACCATTGATTATTGGCAGAGCACAATATTTGCACACAGAAAGTCCTGGATTCTATGTGTGGCAGTTTAAAATATTGGTTAGCATGTGGTAGGAGAGATCTCTGCCTCAAACCCTGAAGAGAAGCTGTCAGTCATAGTAGACAATTATGGGCTAAATGGACAAATAGTCTAAGCCTAGTACAAAGTAGCTTCTGATACGGTTCTAATTCACTGGACATTCAGTGATAAGGTGATGGATCTTCATGGCCAAGGCCAAACTGGAAAAATCAGTCCAGTTTGGCTGGAATCTTTGTTACCAGCCTGGTAAAACTCTTCTCAATCAGAGGGATGCTTGGGGAAAATATTTTGGACCACTGTTGCTTTCTCTTTCTGCTACTTGGACACTGTAGTCTCGTTACTTAGCTAGCCTCAGCATGGCTTTAGCTCACTGGCTGTCCATACTGCAGTAAAGGGGTGGGGCTTTCAGAGAAATGCCCCCCCCTCAATATATATTTAGGTACATACACTCCCTGAAAATCTACAGGGAGGTCATGTTTGCCTCAGAGCATGCTTTGTGGCCAGACTCACCGATCATCCTGGGAGGGGCGAATGTATCCTGATGACAGGATGTTCAGAGACAAGATGTTGGGGTCAATGAGGGATTCATCTCCTTCTGGGGTGTTCCGAATCCGACCTAAAAGCAGAAAACACCACATACAGTTTATTCCCGAGGGAACTCAAATGCAGGTATGTTTTTCAGCCTATCAATGAGGCGATCCTGTCAAGCTGTAGCTATTAAGAAAATCATATTGCTGGGACATTTTTGTTTCTCTCACTATAAAGATTCATGCTGCCTTGGAACAAATAAGAGGCAGCAAGCCTACCACACCACTATAATTTGGACACTTCTCAAAATCTGCCTGCATAAGCAACATAAATTCCCTGATATAGTAGCCTCACAGCCCTGAGGTTCTAGGGGCAGAATAGCTCCTCACAATATATAAATACCATTTTGAATGGTTTTCACTGCACCACATACCAGAATAAGACACAGATCTCCAGAGTACAGACTGTCTACAAGTCAGTAAGAATGCTCAGGGGCCTACTTAGAGTCTCGGAGCACTGCTTTTGATGCTCAGCACATAGCATTTGTGTCTATAAACCTCTCTGGAGTCAATGGGAGTAAGGGGCTGCTCGGTTCAGGCAACCATTTGGCCACAACAGGGGTGGAGAACCATTTTCAGACTTAGTATTGCATTCCCTCATGAGGAACCTTCCAGGAGCCACATTGCATTGGTGGGTGGGGCTAGAGGCAAAAATTAGCAGAGCAATGGATGTGACTCTTACTCCTGTACTAGTGAAGGTTGGAGCATTTGGTCAACTAGGGCACTGCCCCACTAACCTCCATCTGGCCTCATCTAACCCCCACCTGCCTGCCTTCTTACTTACAATCAGCCCAAGGAGTGGCACCAGCTATCAGCTTTCTACTCTTTAAGACTCAGGGCTGTCCTTGTAGAATTCGGCAGGGAGGAGAACAGAGACAAAACTAAAGCGAGTTGGTTCTGCCTGCCATTGCCTCTGTCTCTGCTTCCTGTTGACCTTCCTGCCTTCTGCCCTACCAGTTCCAATGGAAGCGAACCACCATTGCCCTGTTCATTCCAGCCGCACAAAAGCCACGAGGTTTTCAGCCCTGCACACACAACATCTACACATCTTCACCTCCATCTAGGCAAACCATCAGCATTATCACATCCAAGCCCATCACAAAGCCAGACCCATGAGACGACATGGCCCAGGGTGCATTCTGAGAAGCCCGGGAGGTCATTTTGCACACCTGGGCCTGAGACTCCACCCCCTTGGCTAGGAGATACAAGAAAGGGTAGACACAAGCTTTACTTACCCACAACCAGCTCCCGCACTTCTTTCCAGCGAATGTGGCTCCCTGTCTCATGCACCAGGGTGACGGTGATCCTCCTCTGGATACCCTGTCATCCACCATGTCCAAAGAGAAAGGAGGCAGCGGTTATGAGAACTTCAGCTAAGCAATGAGCAGCACTGGGTGGGTTTTGCCCTTTGCAAAAGGATATGTGCATGAACAGGGGCAAAAATATTGGCCAAGAGAGGGAGAAGGACATGGCTCCTACAACAGGTCGCCTCTTATAAACTGGCCCTTAAATGAGGCAATCTACAGTGCTAGCCACATAGTCTATTTGACAAGTGCTTTGCCAAGATAGGCAAATAAATACAGTTTGTCTTGAGGATAACCTCATTTAAAAGGGTCATTTGGGCACTGCTTTATTATGCGTATGAGCAAGATATACAACAGACTTCCTACAGCATATCAAAACTTTTGGCTGCTTTCAATTTTGATTCTGTGTTACTCCTCTTTCATTGCACTGTGCTGCATCATAGTTACTAAGGGGGAGGGTATATTT